TCATTCCAACTAGACCATCGTGCGGGCTCACCGCCCTTCTCTCCCTCCCTCATCCCTGATGGGAGGTGCTATCATTCCAACTAGACCATCGTGCGGGCTCACCGCCCTTCTCTCCCTCCCTCATCCCTGATGGGAGGTGCTATCATTCCAACTAGACCATTGTGCGGGCTCACCGCCCTTCTCTCCCTCCCTCATCCCTGATGGGAGGTGCTATCATTCCAACTAGACCATCGTGCGGGCTCACCGCCCTTCTCTCCCTCCCTCATCCCTGCCAGGGAAATCAGCCGATGGCTGTCCAACGTGTTGCCTCTGGGAGGGCCGGAAGAATGAATAAGGGTGAAGAAATGGGATGGGATGGGAGTTGCTCTAATTCAAGCTAGACCATTGTGCGGTCTCACCGCCCTTCTCCCGCTCCTTCATCCCTGCTGGGGCAATTAGATGATGTCTGTCCAACGTGTTGCCACTGAGAGTGAGAGGGGTAATGGAAGCGGAAGCGGGTGAAGAGATAGGATGGAATCCCAATCAGACCAACATGCAGTCTCACCGCTCTACCCCTGTCCGTCATGTGATAAAAGTTGAGTTCTGAGACGTCTCAAAACTCTACTTTTATCACGTACCAACATGCAGTCTCCCCGCTCTACCCCTGTCCTTCATGCCCGCCTAGCGCGCGATTAAAAGTTGACTCACCAACATGATCCAACATGGTTTTCATCACCCCGCAGGCAGACTCATGATCCAAGCTCAACAGTCACCTGATACGCCTCATCTGCCTGAAAGTCACCAGTCACCACCTGAGGGATAGACTCATGTGAGCAGCCCAGACTGTAATTCAGCCCGAGCTGGCCAAAGACAGCAGTCATGCGAGCAGTGATGGCTGTATTCCTAGCACTTTTCACTCGCACCAGCCAGTCCCTTGTGTTCCTTCCCACCAGCCAAGTCACCAGTCAGCACCTGATGGATAGACTCACGTGAGTCCGCCCAGGCTGTATTTGAGCCCGAGGTCCACAAATACGGATGTCATGCGCGCAGATATGGCCAAGTCACCAGTCAGCACCTGATGGATAGACTCACGTGAGTCCGCCCAGGCTGTATTTGAGCCCGAGGTCCACAAATACGGATGTCATGCGCGCAGATATGGCCAAGTCACCAGTCAGCACCTGATGGATAGACTCACGTGAGTCCGCCCAGGCTGTATTTAAGGTGACTTTTGAGTCGACTCAAAAGTCGCCGAGGCTGGATTTGAGGTGACTTTTGAGTCGACTCAAAAGTCGCCGAGGCTGTATTTAAGCTCGAGCTCGTCAAACACGGACGTCATGCGCGCATAGATGGTCGGCTTTTGCAACATGTCACCATTCAGCACCTCGTGCTCTCATCAGCCACCTCACCTGCCACCTCACCTGCCACCTCACCTGCCACCTCACCAGGCACCAGCTTGCAGACTCACGTGAGTCCGCCCAGGCTGTATTTGAGCCCGAGGTCCACAAACACGGATGTCATGCGCGCAGATATGGCCGGCATTCGCCAAAGAGAGAGCGGTAGAGGTCGAGCCTGCTCACGCCTCACCAGGCGCCACACCAGCTACGTCACCTGCCACCAGCTACCAGCTACCAGCTAAGAGACTCACGTCAATCCGCCCAGGCTGTACTTGAGCCCGAGCTCGTCAAACACGGCTGTCATGCGGGCGGATATGGCCGGCATTCGGTCGCCGAAGAGAGAGCGGTAGAGGTCGAGCTTGCTCACACCTTCCTTGGACGCCTTGGGGTTGAGCTGAAACGCATGCCACCGGACCTGTGATATGCACGCACAGAGAAACACACACACAGACACACAGAATGAGGAACATACATGGTATACACACAGATGTAACGCTGTAACGCGTAACACGGTAACGGAGAAGCAGAGGTCGATATTGTTCAAGTGTTCTCTGGACGCCGCGGGGTTGAGCTGAAACGTATGGCACCGGACCTGTGACCTGACCGATGGGACACACGTGTGCTACAGGGACACGTGAGTCAGCAGGCGCAAAAATTATACCCGTCCCGCCAAGCTTAAAATCGTAATCTCTCTTCTTCCGAGGCTTCTGTACTCGTTAGAATGCTACCCAACGCACCTCAACGTCCGCCACGTCAGCGAATTCAGCGATGGCCTTATCCAGGTTTCGCTTGCCGACGAAGCACCACGGACAAACGGTGTCGGACACGACGTCCACTGCCACACGCGCGCGACGACCGGCTGTCGCCATGACTAGGTGGCAAGGCGACGTCGTGCGACGGTTCGTGGTTTGCACGGACAAATGCTACCAACAGATGAAATTGGCTATTTTATGTTATAATTTTTGCAACAGCTAAAGCGAGGACAAATATACTAAGAACTGGTCCGTCGCTAGTTTCCTCCCGGCTTTCCTAGAGACTAGCTGAGACCCCTGTCTCCAATTTGAATGATAGTTGCAGGGGAGTGTGACATTCCCAAGGGAAACGGACTCGGTATAACAGCATCGGGTTTCGAAATTAAAACCGCAGTCCCAAACAGGCCTAAACTGCCTCAAGCTTCCTAACTTTGGTTGGGTGTGACCCAGTAGATATTGACTCACTTCGCGATTTGTCGGGACAAATTTCGCCACGCGAAGTTACTGTACTAGCGAGAGCGGTTGGAGTGACGACTTCGCACAAAAGGTTGAAGCCCGTCCGAAACTTTTGCAAGCTATTTCGTACTTTGCATTCAAAATCTGGTTACACATGCGAGGTACTCAGGCTTTGCGATCGGTGTCCACAAATCGCGACACCACCCACAATCCCTTGCCCCAACCAAGCTTCCTAAGAAACCCTTGGAACTCCGGTTTTAACAGTTACAGTTCAGATTGCAGGGGTTTGGATGTTGATTCGAGCCTGATATTGATTCACCCACTATTTCAAGTATGTGAATACCTGTAGTGCCTCCTAAATACGGTATGACTTGTCTAAAAAAAAAACAACTCAATTTCGTATCAAAACCGAAATATAAAATTGTGAAGGCCGTCCCAGCTTGAAATCGCTACGATGAGTTCGGCGGAAACAACACTGTTTGAAAAAAAAAAGGAGTAGGAAGAGGGAACTCATTTGATTGGCTCACGCCTCCGTGAAATTTTCTGGATCCCCCCAAAACGATTTTTGGGGCACACGGCACGCCGTCGCATTTCTAGATGCTGCACCCACACGACCGTTGTCCAGCGATGGTTTCCATCGCTTGGCGAACTTCCACTTCAAGTTGGAACTGGGTTCACAACTAGCTGATTTTCCGTCATGAAGTAGCATAGCATAGCTGAGAACGCCTAATTCTTACTGGCCTAGGCACGTGCCGTAACTATCGACTTAGCTCACATGCGTAATATATTAGCTTTGTATGAATCGTCACCCCCTACTCGCCTGCGAATCAGCCTTCCCCTCCTTTCTCCCATGAGCCACCTCGTTTCCGTCGCGATTTCGGTAAGTCGCCTCGAATCGGCCTTCCGACCGTCCTTCCTCTCTCCCCCTCCACTTCGGAGCCGTCGCCTCTCCTCGAATCGGCCTCCCGTCGCCCTTCGAGTCTCCCTTTGCATCTCCACTTCGTCGCCCTTTCACTCGCCCTCTCGTTCCCTCGTTTTGCAACTATATCTCCTTTGTCCTCTCGTCGCCGTCTTGTTCTCTCTCTGCTATCGCATTACCGCGACCCATTTTAGCCTTTTTCTATTGTTTTTTTCGTGCAGTTAATCCATCCATCGCCCTCTCTCTCTCCCCTCCCTTCCTGTCGCCCTCGCTCTCTCCCCTCGCTTCCCGTCGCCCTCTCTCTCCCCTCCCTTCCCGTCGCCCTCTCTCTCTCCCATCCCTTCCCGTCACCCTCTCTCTCTCCCCTCCCTTCCTGGTGACCTCGCTCTCTCCCCTCCCTTCCCGTCGCCATCGCTCTCTCTCCTCCCTTCCCGTCGCCCTCTCTCTCTCCCCTCCCTTCCCGTTGCCATCGCTCTCTCCTCTCCCTTCCCGTCGCTCTCTCTCTCTCTCTCTCTCTCTCTCTCTCTCTCTCTCTCTCTCTCTCTCTCTCTCTCTCTCTCTCTCTCTCTCTCTCTCTCTCTCCCCTCCCTTCCCGTTGCCCTCGCTCTCTCTTCTCCCTTCCGGTCGCCATCCAGCTCTCCCCTCCCTTCCCGTCGCCATCGCAAGATGCAGTCGTCGTGCTCTTCGCGCCCTTCTTCCCTGCCCTCCCATCACCCTACCTCTTTCCGCGATTTTTGCACACTTATATCTCTCCTCACGCCCCGTTTCGGTTGCCCTGTCGCGTTCTTCTCTGGTCACCCTGCTAACTCTCTTGTTTTTCCGTTCTTTTTGTTCCTCAATGCTGTTTTTGCCGCCACACAGGTTTTTGGCTAAGGGTGCATTCCTGCGGGGACACTTGTGTCTCAATCCCCGTTTTCCCGAGTCGCGTTTGTAAATATGAATTTTTTCGAAAGTGTGTAAGACTTTCTAAAAATGTGTATTGTGAAAGCGCAGCTGCCTGTAACGAAGCAAAGCAACGGCGAATTACAATTCGCCGAGTACATAACGAGAGTTGGAGGCCATTCGGCCTCCACCCACGACTTCATTTCAGAACTTTGCAGTTTCACTCCAATTCTCGTCCAACCACCTCGACCGTTTCCTTGTCGCTAGAAACTACCTTCTAAGCTAATACTCACTTGCACGTTCAACCCAGGGGGGGATGGGGACCGAGGGTCCCCGTGTGGCCTGAGAGCCGTCCCCCAGGGGGGCAAGGGGACCGAGGGCCCCGTGTGGCCTGAGAGTCGTCCCCCAGGGGGGGAAGGGGACCGAGGGTCCCCGTGTGGCCTGAGAGCCGTCCCCCAGGGGAGGGAAGGGGACCGAGGGTCCTAGCGTGGCCTGAGAGCCGTCCCCCCGGGGGGAAGAGACTCGAAGGTCCACACGTTGGCCTTACTGTAAAATGGGCAAAATTTTCGAACAATGTGCTCGCTTGTATGACTGGATCATCCTTGGTTTTTGATGTACCCCATTTACTTTTTAATGTGACCAATAAAGGCTGGTTGGAGCCCCACTGAAATCTCGGGAAGCAACTGTTCAAGTGCACCTCAAGTTGGTTTTAAAATCTTGACTTGACTCCAGTTGGTGTTCACACACTTTTAAACCACATTCCGTGTTCTTCCAAATAAGGACAATGACAATGGGATCGGTTTTCGCTATCATTCTCATCCCACTTTGTTCGATAACACCCGACAAGGAAGCAAAAGCACACGTTGAAACGACTTGCATGCTGTCACCTGAATGGGCGTTTGGGAGTAAAAGGCAGCAATTGTGTGACCGTTCCTACCCAACCAACATGACGAATACCACACTCACCCGAGTACCACTTCAAACCCTTACATCCACCCACGTTGTAGTTATTCCGGCCGGAACATCAAACGACGGGAAGTGTAGGGTAAAGCAGAGCACATGGAAGCTAAATCCCAAGATAAAAGTTGTACCGTACATTGGGCGTGTAGAGTACGGGAACCACCAGTTTCAACCACTATCCTGGTGCACCAACAACCAGGGACATCCACATCAACAGCACGAGCAACCTTCGCGCACAGCACCTCGGATGCCATCGACATGGAGCCCACGACTCACCAACGCCGCCCCCCCGGCATTTCGTCAATGTCATCAACCGCAACTACACTCACCACGTTTTCAACGCTCCAACTGCACATGTCTTAGAAGACCCAATTGTAATGAAGCCAGTTGCCTTTGCAAGAACAGAAAGCAAGCTTTCTCAATATGAATTTTTTCGAAAGTGTGTAACACTTTCTAAAAATGTGTATTGTGAAAGCGCAGCTGCCTGTAACGAAGCAAAGCAACGGCGAATTACAATTCGCCGAGTACATAACGAGAGTTGGAGGCCATTCGGCCTCCACCCACGACTTCATTTCAGAACTTTGCAGTTTCACTCCCCACCCACCCGCCCTAGTTGTACCAATATTTGTATGATCCATAGTTGGACGAGAATGTTGTATTACTGCAATTGTAATGAAGCCAGTTGCCCCAATTGTAATGAAGCCAGTTGCCTTTGCAAGAACAGAAAGCAAGCTTTCTCAATTTGCCAAATGTTGTGTCACCAACAACCAATTTATCGCGATTCTAGGCGACCAAGCGAAATGTACAGTTGTGCGTATTTGATTGGGTGACACAAATGACTGTACATCCCTTTCTTCAATCGCTTGGCTGGGGTGTAGTTTCGACACGCGGGATTTTTTCCCGCACGAAATTGGCATTGGAGGCTGTCTAGGTGCATTGAAATTTCGAGCCGCGTGCGATTTTTTCACATTGACGAGTTGGATCACAATTCGTCAGCGACGTCAGCGCATTTCACGCTGACCAATAAAAAATACAGTTATGGTCGCGGAAAGGCGACTCGCAATTGGGACACACTACAGTTTATGCTGTTTTTGTGTGTCACAAAGCGATTGAGACATTTCTGTCCCCACAGGAATGCACCGTAAGGGCGTGTTACAGTTTTTATTTTTTTTCGTCCGGACGATTGTGTGGTTACAGAACTCATCAATTCTCGGCAGTGAGCTCGTTAGGGTCTAAACAACGTCGTATTCTTCGTATTGCCTCCTTACGACTTCGCTTTGGTCGCAAAGCGACCGTACGACGTCACAATCTTCGCACGCGTCCGAACAGCCGTCCGGACTATCAGCGACTTAAAAAAATGTAACACGCCCTAAGGCGTTTTGCTGTGCGTGAATTCCACATTTGTGAAATTGGCACTGCATGTGAATGAGACTTGCGGCACATTTGCAGTGCACATGCTTGCGACGCCTTTTGTTGGATAAAATATGCGAAGACTCACACGAGTATCAAACGTGTTTGACAAAAAAAAAGAACATAACACCACCCAAACTTCTGTAAAGAGTTCAAGTGGACCCAACTAGAAGGGGGGGGTCACTATTTTAGCTGCTGGGTTTAAACATGCTGCCACGCTGTTACACAATCTCCTTTTGATCACGCTCTGGAGACAAGGATGTGCTAGCAACTGGAGCAACTCCTGACCCAGCCGCTTCGTTTCTTATGCAACCACTTCCGCTGATTATGTGAGGGGCCCAGCGCTTCAGTAGCTTCATAAAGAGCTGATACAGGCCCATGCCGACAGCCAGAGCTGACACCCATGCAATCACCGGCACCTGCACGCGTGGAAAAACAAGGAATGCCGGAACGATGCAAGCTTAGTGGGGAACAAAGGGAGGCTTGACAAGATGTATCATTTGCAGAGGATAAAATAAAAAGGGAGGGGGAGGGAGGTGGGGAAACCATAGATGAGAGAGGGGTAGAGAGGAGAGGGAGAGGCAGTGACCAAAGAGGATTGAGCTTTGAGTTGGGGGGTGGAGAATGGGGCTGACTCACATTCCCAGTGGATAGGCTGACAAATGCCGGAGCTGGGCAATATCCTGCTAGACCCCAACCTGGGAGAAAGGTAGTTGCAGAGAGGAGATACAGAAGAAGTGGAGACTCAGTGCGAATGGAGTGGCTAATGAGCTAAGTGCCACCACAGGCAGTACAACTAAAACACACACACACACACACACACACACACACACACACACACAGAGACATACACACGCACACACGCACACGCACACGCGCACACGCGCACACACACACACAAAAAAAAAACCAACAAGTGGAACTGCTAAGTGTGAGAAGATCTATCTCTCAAGCTCACTCACCGATGCCAAAGATTGCCGACCCAACCACCAGCTCCCAGGTGATGTCATTCCGCGAGGGCACGTAGAACTTGGTGTCAAAGAGCGGGTTGGGGCGGGCGAGGATGAAGCGGAAGGTGACGACGTTGACAACCACGGCGCCGCCCATCACAAAAGCGAGACTGGGGTCCCACCCGTGCACTGGGTCCAAAAAGTCCTTTACCTTGTAGGGGTTGCACCTGTATGGAGTATGAGGGGGGATGGGGAGAGTCAGAGTCGTTACAAAGGCCAGACTGGGGTCCCACCCGTGCACTGGGTCCAAAAAGTCCTTTACCTTGTAGGGGTTGCACCTGTACGGAGAATGAGGGGGGATGGGGAGAGTCAGAGTCGTTACAAAGGCCAGACTGGGGTCCCACCCGTGCACTGGGTCCAAAAAGTCCTTTACCTTGTAGGGGTTGCACCTGTATGGGGAATGGGATGAACGCAGGTGGGATAGGGAGCGAGGGATGATGGGGTGGAAGGGAATCAGGCCCATCACAAAAGCGAGACTGGGGTCCCACCCGTGCACTGGGTCCAAAAAGTCCTTTACCTTGTAAGGGTTGCACCTGTATGGGGGATGAAGACAGCATGATGGTGAAACCTGGGGATTGGCTGTGCATTGGGAAGAGGTGTGAGGTTACAGGTAGATGGTATGGGTGCAAACATGTACAGGAAGGCATCTATTAAGAACGGAGAACGATGCAAGGGGGTGGATGAGTGGGAGGCAAACGGGGAAAGAGAGCGCGGTGAAGGGGGAGGAGCACACTTGCTGATAAGAGCATGTCCAATGCCATTGGACAGTTGAGTCCAATGCCACTTGCGCACATTTGGGTCAGTGTACTCAAATGCCTTGCGAGTCGACTTTGAATGACATTTGAGTTGAGTCTATTCAAAAGATGAATGGAAGGGGAGCCTCACATGCCACTAAGAGCGAGACCGATGCCGAAAATGGCTCCCGTTACAAGTGACGCTCGGAGCACGTTGACGGGATGGAGCAGCGCAGAACAGCAGGAGGCGGAGGGCGCAGAGGGGGAGAGGGAGCACGCCTGGGGGAACAGAGAGATAAGGAGGCACAGGAGCAACAGAGCAACGGAGCAAGGGGGAGTTCAGCGGGAGGGCAGAGATGTGGAGGACAGAGAGATGCGAAGGCACGGGATAAAGCGGGGTGAGGAGAGTGGATTTTGCAGCGTACATGCACAGAGATCCATGCACGGCATATCAGCTTTCTAAGGAACACCCTGATCACACAGTCGTCTCATTTGAGTTGGCCCAAAAGTCTACACACACACACACACACACACACACACACACACACACACACACACACACACACACACACACACGCACAGGCAAACACACACACAATCAGCCCCGCATGGCACAGCAGCCCACTACAGACCGCACAAACCATACAACATTTATTTTGCTCAGAAACAATACCCACTCACTCACTCCATCCCAGTCCCCGCTCCGCCTAGCTCAACCGCATAGAACCGTTCCTCACCCCAATAGAGCAGGCCGGTTTAGCAAGCGATGCCGACTCCCCAGCAGCCCCACCAGCAGCCCCACCATTAGCACCACTAGCAGCTCCGCCATCAAGAAACTCGTTACAGTACGGGCATCTGTACGCGATAATAGCTCCCACGGCTGTAGCACAAACCGCCAGCACGAGCAGCCACGTGTTGGTGGCTGGGATGGGCTCGCCGGGGGGGCGGTTCGCGGCTGTAGCGCCGGTGGCGATAGCCCCGAGGGTCATGGATGTAGCGGCGCCTGTAGCCATGAAGGTGGCCACTCCAACGGCGCTGCGCAGTGAGAAGCGCGGCAAGCCGCACACGCCATGGCCGGACGTGCACCCGCTGCCCAACTGATTGAGGTTGGGGAGAGAGGGGTAAGAGGAGGGGGGGAAAGGGGAGGGAGAGGAGGGAGGTGGGCAGCTGCGCGGGGAGAAGCGCAGCAAGCCGCACACGCCGTGGCCGGACGTGCACCCGCTGCCTAACTGATTGAGGTGAGAGGTAGTGGTGAGGAGGGAGGGGTGGGGAAAGGTTTGGCTTCTGGGGAAGAAAGGGGATGGAGAGTAGGAGGTCCGGGAGGTCCGGGAGGTCCGGAAAGTCCGGGAGGTCCGGGAGGTAGGTCCGGGAGGGAGGTCCGGGAGGTCCAATCGTAGCACGAGCGGCAGGGAAACCCATTGGAGGGGTGATTAAGTCGACTCGGCGGCATGTGTGCTAAGGAAAGCCCATGGGGGGGAGCTGTATCTGGAATCTTAAAGGGAGCTGTACCTGCGATCCGAAGCCGCAAAGTAGCCCCGCGGCGATGGGCAGAATGAGCGCGAGGCCCGGATCGTCGCCCACGGACGGGGGATTGGACCCGAACGCGTGCCCGCTGTTGATGAGCATCGTGAACGATCCGACGGCTGTCATCGACGCGAGGAACACTGCGCGCCAAGCCCAATCCGGCACACCGGTGATGACGCCTGCGGTAGCACAGAGAGCGGCGGTTGGGCGAGATGCAAAGATGGTGGTACACTTAAACATCGCGGTTCAAAGGGGTACATTAGTTAGCAAAATGGTTCGGAATGATCACATGATGCGAGTCTCGATGGGAGAGAGTCAGAGTTCTACGCGGGACGGCACGAGGCGCTTACCGTTGACGACTCCCGACGCGGCCATGGCACGGCCGGTGGTGAGGAAATGCGGGGACTCGTTCACGATGCCTTATGAGACGACTTTTGAGAATTCCCAAAAATCACTTCCACGATGCCTTATGAGACGACTCAATTGTGGTCAGAGTAACGTACCATGAACGACGCCCCACGCGCCCATGATGCGGCCCGTGGTGAGGAGGTGCAGCGACGCGACGCTTGACTCTGAGGAAATGCGGGGACCGGGACAATGCGTTTTAAGTTGATGCAAGGTGTCGTATGAGGAAATTAACTCACCGTTGACGACGCCCGACGCGCCCATGATGCGGCCCGTGGTGAGGAGGTGCAGCGACGCGGCGATGCCGATGATCACGCCGCCCACCAGCGACTGCCACGGCGTGAAGTTATAGATCTGAGGTGCCATGATGATCGCGGGCGGATCGAGCTCGGCACTCTCTCAAAAACTCTGAAACTTCGTTCCTTGGGGGAATGAGTGGCTTCTTGTGTCAAGAAGACTCTTGCTAAAATGGCACACGGCTATCGGATGGAGAACCAATAAGCTAGCAGGGGCGATATATAGCGGAGAGCAGAGCCTGCTTCTTGTGGTGGTGTATGTGTTCGAGGAGAATGGTGGGTGGAAGGTAAGTAGTAAGCATCCAATCTCCAACGTGGGACCAGACTGTCCAGTCCAGTCATGCCCAGTTGTTCAGACGTTGTTTGCTCCTCGTGGGGGCTCTTGTCTCTCTCACTGCTCTTGCCTGCTCTTGCTGCTCCCTTCCGAACAGTACCCCCACCCGCTGCACCCTTGCATCGCTGGAGAGATGGGTGGAACGACGCGATTTCGATCCCCAAAATCACGACGCTGCAAAATGTTAAAACGAGCATAATCCGTGGATTTCTACTCATACCACGCTAGATTAAATTAACACCAGACTGAACTCCTAGATATTCTCACCGACTTTTTATTAATTGGTCTGCGGGATGTGCGCGCGCGACTCGGAACGCTGGACGAATTTCCCCTTCCAAGCTCATATTATTTTTTCCAACGTAGAATTGGGCAGCAAGAAATAATATTTGCGACACTGGCCAAGCATGGTATTGGTATTTCATTTCATTGCTGGATGATCGCATTTTCCAGCTGCGCCTGTATCTGTCCGCCGTTCATCCACCCTGAAATGGAATTTTACGCCAGCTGGGTAGATAAAAAAGTCTTCTTTATGGTGGACTCGGAAATATCAGCGGAAATTTCCTTGTCGTTACGAAGCTTCTCATCGTGTTTCGTTGTGGTCGGAGTGTGACCGTGCAAAGATCAGACTCGATGTTATGGTACCCGTCAGATAATTTAGCAGTTTTTGTAAATCAGCTGAATAAAATCCTCTTCACATGGTACTCGCACGCACTCCAAACTGAGCAAGGCAACAAAAAATTATATTACTGAAAAACACTTGATTCCAATGAAAGGCGAGTTCCTAAACAAGCATCCGCGGATTACAACAAAGCAAGTGAACAGTTGCAACATAAATAAATAATTGAACTTACTAACCAACTACCATCTTCTACCACCTTGCTGTCCTTGGTTGTAGCTGCTGCGGTTGTAGCCATGACTGCTACTGCCACCAGTCGTGCCGCTGCCCTGATGGGCCCCTGAAGCTTGAGCCTGTTGGGACCCGGGCCAAGGCCGAGCACCAGCACTCACCTCCTCCCCTCTACCCCACTGCCTGCTTGCTCCCTCCCTCCTCTCCTTGCTGCCTCCCTGATCGCCCCCTTTGCCTCCTTGCGTACGTGATTGGTTGGTGGATGAAGAGTGAGTGGTGGTGAAGGAGGCTGTATCGGGTGTGATTATATCCCACACATACTTCCTGGGCTCTGGCTTCTTAGGCGCCCCTCTGCCCCTCTCTCGCTCCACCCTTGAACCATCACTGTCACTCTCTTCGTCCTCCTCTTCCCCCTCAGTATAATCTTCCTCTTCCTCATCATCATCATCCTCATCGTCTTCCTCCTCATCTTCCTCCTCATCTTCCTCCTCGTCTTCCTCTTCCTCTTCATCTTCTTCTTCCTCCTCCCCCTCTTCTTCTTCCTCTTCTTCCTCTTCCTCCTCTTCTTCCTCTTCCTCCTCTTCTTCCTCTTCCTCCTCTCCTTCCTCCACTTCATCCTCCTCCGCTTCTACCTTCTTTTCCTCCTCCATCTCCGTCCGACCCCACTCAACCCCCTGCCTACTCACAACTACCCCTTCTCTCTGCCCATACCCCTTTCCACCACTCAGTCCCTCTCCCCACTTTCCTCCACCCCTCTCTCCACCCTTCTCACCGCTCAACGCACCCCACAACTCCTTCCCTTCACTCCCGCGGCGCGTAACACTGCTCTCGCTCTGCCTACTCTGCCCTCCACTCTCCCTCCTTTCTTCCCGTGAGCCTGGTCTATTCCAAAGGTCTACACTAATTCGACTTCCCGCCTCCCTCCCAACCCCTCCCTCCACCACCTCCCATTCTCCTCCTCCCTCCCTCTGCTTCCTGCCCCTGTCTCCCTGCCAGCTTTCCCGATCTTCCATATTCCTACCCTCCTTACCCTCATCCCTCCCATCCCCATCCCTGCAATCCCTATTCCATCCACGCTGGTCCCAATCAACACTTCGCCTACCGTCCCTCCGCCCCCCTTCCTCCCCTCTCACACCCCCTCTCTCCCACCCTCTCTCACCCACCCTCTGTTTCTCCCCCTCTCCAACCTGCCACGCCTTGTTTCTAGAAGCTTCCTGATTCTGATACCCTGAGAGGTCAACAGAGAGCGGCCTGACTCGAGCATGGGGGAGAGAAGGAGGAGCAATAGAAGGCGCAGGAGGAATAGCAGGAGCAGAATCAGGAGCAGGGGAAGGGGAACGGGACCGCATCCCCCGATTCCCACCCCAGTTCCCTGACCCTGACCCTGACCCTGGTCCATCACCCGATCCCACTCTCCCTTTCTCGCCAGCCCGCTCCCAAGCAACTCCAGATTCCCTTTCATCCGCAGCAACAGCAGCAACAGCAGCGATGGCAGCGGCGGCAGCGGCGGCAGCAGCAGGGGAGGCAGGCACGCGCGGTGGGGTGCGGGTGCGGCCATTGAAAGACTGCCCTCGCTCTCCTTGCTCAGCAAACGACTGCCTCCTCTCCGCATGACCCGCCGCGCCGTACCGCTCCCGGTCCTTAAACGAGCCGCTCCGCTCCCCGAACCGGCCACCAGGCTCGGCAGACGAGCCAATGAGATCTCGAGATGATCTGCTCCGGCCTCTGGTCGACCCACCGAGGTCTCTAGATTCCTCATCGTCCTCCATCCTCCCACTCCGGTCCTTGAACGAGCCACTGCGGTTTCCGAACGAGCCCGACCGGTCTTTAGAAGACAGGGTGCCATCCGCAGAGGCAGCAGCAGCAGCAGTAGCAGAGCCAGGAAGGGCAAAGAGAGAAGCGCGTCGCTGTGCCACACTGCTGCCTGAAAGCTCTTTCCTCGGCCGAGGTGCAGGAGGGGACCAGTCCCTTCCCTCACGCCCCAACTGTGGCGACCAGTCTCTCCCCTCGCGGCCTTTCAAAGGGGATTTAAAGCGGTTCCGGGGGGACGGGGACGGGGAGCGGAACGGGGAGAGGGGCGGGGAACCATCACCGTCGCGATCGCGAGTGGAGCTGGAGTGATGGTGGTGACGATGCTGATGATGATGATGGTGATGGTGGCGATTGTCTGTGTGGGTAGGTGCAGGCGGGAAAGGCGGGTTCCTTCTGTCGGCACTGTCTAGAGTGTGACTGTGACCCTTCCATTCCCTCGCTGCTGCCTCGTAATCCTCCTCCTCTTCCTCCTCCTCCCCCTCCTCCTCTCGCTCATCCTTATCCTTCCAGCCCCTGTTCTTCCCCTCTTCCTCGTCCTCCTCCTCACTCCCATCCTCTGATTTACCCACCCCATCCTCCCTCCCAACTTCCATCCATTTCTTTCCATCTGACCCTCTCTCCTTGTCACTCCCGAACCTGCGCATGAACCTGGACCCCGGACCTCCTCCCGAGCCTCCTCTGTCCTTGCCCCGGGGGCTCCTCTGGTGCGGATTGAGCTTCGGCGCGTCAGAGGAGGTTCGGAGGAGCCCGGTTTTGAGTTCTAGCTTCCTTGCGTGGGGTAGTTCATACACTCTGTTCTGCACCTTAGGCACCCAGGGAAACTCCCTGTTATCCCCCTTAGTAGCCTCCTCAGTCTGTCCGCTGGAGCGACCTTTGGGGCTGGAAGGTGTAGAAATGGTTCGCCTATGGTGCTGGTGTTGGTGCTGGGGCTGGCGCTGGTGCGGCTGCTGTTGCTGATGATGATTAGGATTGTAGGGTGGATGAGAAGAAGCCAAAAAGGAAGCTTCCAGCTGCTGCTGCTGCTGCTCAGGTTCCCTTAAGTTCTGCCCCTCTTTACCGTCCCACTGTGTCTGACGGTGGAAACGCGACAAAAGATGATCCATCTCGCCTTCTCCCACCGCCACTACTGCCTCTTCTACTCCTCCACTCCCTTCCACTTCCTCTGCTTCCCCTCCCACTAATCCAACTGTAACAGCATCAACTGTGGTCGTACCAACACCCGCTGCTTCACCCCGCTTCCCAGCCTCATCAGCAGCACTGCAACTACCCACAGGCAGCTTCCGGGAAAACGTGAGAGAAACAGAGAGGGAGGGAGAAGCAGGGACCTCTAATTCACTCTCTCCTCCACTCTCTCCTCCACTCTCTCCTCTGCTTTCTTCTCTGCTCTCTCCTCTGCCCTCTGCTGCCCCGCTCTCAGCCCCAGTCTTCTCTCCCCTGCTCTCCTCTTCCACACACACCTCCTGCTCTCTTCCGTGCCCCGCCCTCCCTATCTGTTCCTTATTCAAAGGACTGGGATTCGCGTCTCTCTCGTCCACCCTGCTCCCCTCTGCAACCCCACCTCTCTCGCTCCCTTTGCTGCTCCCCTCTGCAACCCCACCTCTCTCGCTCCCTTTGCTGCTTCCCTCTGCAACCCCAGCTCTCTCCCTCCCCCTGCTGCTGCTCCTATCAAGACGGCTCAAAGGAGATTTGGACCGTTGATTTCTCTCACACGACGGGGGGCGAGGAGGGGAGCTACCACTGATCTGGTTACCACTGATCTGGTTACCACCAGAACCATCGTCGTCACCACCCCTGTCACTGCCTCTTCCCCTGACCCTCTCCGGCGAGCCTTGGCCCGGGCCTGGGCTCGCCAAGCCTGGCAGTGCCGAGGCTACACTGGAGGTTCGGAGGAAGCCTTGGGGGCGCCTACCCCCAAGCTCCTGTAACAGGAAGGATCGGGCGGCGCTTTGGGCGCGATGGGGGGGATTGAGGGGCGGGGAGGCATCGCGGGGGGGAGGAGAGACGCTGTGGGGAAGCGGGGGAGAAGAGTCGTGGGCAGGAGGAGGAGAGGGGGTGCGGGGAGGATGTGACGGGGTCTGGTTAGGACGAGGAGGAGAGGGGGTGTGGGTAAGAGGAGCAGAGGGCGTGCGAGGGAGAAGGGGGGAGGGGGGTCGTGGCGGGTGTGGGGATAGGGAGCGGGTAAGGGAAGGGGAGGGGGGTTTTGGGGGGTGACGGGAAGGGGAGGAGGCAAGGGGAGGGGGAGGTGCATGAAGTGCGCTGGTGTGGTCAGGAGGGGATGAGAGGGGCGATGTTACAGGGGGTGAGATCGGAACAGTAGTGGCAGCAGTGGAAACTGTAGCAGCTATAGCAGCCATGGCGGCTGTGTCAGCTGTAGCAGCAGTGTCAGCTGTAGGAGCAGCAACGGCTGTGGAAGCAGCAACAGTCGTGGAAGCAGCAACAGCTATGGAAGCAGCAACAGCTGTGGAAGCAGCAACAGCTGTGGAAGCAGCAACAGCTGTGGAAGCAGCAACAGCCGTGGAAGCAGCTTCCGGTTCCGCTTCTGCCGTTGCTTCGTCTGACCCAGCCATCATCCCAGCAGATAAAATGCGGGTCGGGGATTCGACAGCACGTGCAGCAGCCACAGCACCGGCAGTTGCCTGAAACGAATCCAGAGAACCCCGTCTCTCCCCTCCTTCACCCCATCCTTCTATCCCTTCTCTCCCCCATCCGCTTCCACTATCTCCCGCAACCTCTCCCCCGCCATCTCCCGCCTTTGCTCCCCCCTCCTCTCCCACCCCATCCCCTCGCCCATCCCTTCCCTTGCGCCCAGTCCGCATGGTTGGGAGCCGAAGCTTCACTGACGGCCGGGACCACGGCCACACCCCACCTCCCGAGCCTGATCCAGCACCCGAACCTCCGTGCGAGCCTGGCTCCGCACCTGACGCGTCCGAGCCAGTGCGATTCGGGTCGGCAACGCGGGGGGAAACGGGCGGGTGAGGAACGCTGGGTAGGGGGTGGGCAGGAGGAGGGGAGGGGGAGCGGCGATGAGGGGAGGGAGAGCGGTGTTTGGTGAAGGGGAGGGGGAGGATGCGGAGGCCTTTCATGTCCGGAGTGCTGGGGAGAGACATGAGGCGCCGGTGCCGCCGCGGCTTTTGCTCTGCCTGCTGCTGCTGCTGCTGGGGCTGCTGGGGCTGCTGGGGGTTCTGTTGCTTCTGCTGCTCCTGGTGCTGTTGCTGCTGCTGCTGCTCCATCTGTTGCTGCTGAACCTGCTCTAGCTGCAACTGCAGGTGGAACTGCTGAAACACGTTCTCAGACTCTTGCTGCTTATCTGACGGGTGATCAGCCACCTGCACCCCTTCCAACCGCTCTCCACCTGGCATTTCCGCCTCGAAACTGTCTCTGCATGCAGCAGAGCCAGTGCTGGAAGCAGGGGAGGGGCCAGTGGAGGAGTGGGCGCATAAGGAGCGAGCAACTGACATTGACTGGACGGATAAGGATCGTACAGGCATGGGGCGAGCAGCAGGAGAGTGGGCGGCATTGGAATGGCCGGCAGGGGACCGGGCGGCAGGAGAATGGGCGGCAGACGAGGTCTGCGACTGGGGCTGGGGCTGTAACGAGGGTGACTGCAACGAGTGATGGAAGGACCGGAAATCCTCGTTGGTAGTGCTGCGGTGGCGGTGGTGGTGGGGGTGGGCCGGAGGCGTCTTGTTCTTGCGGAGGAAGCGGGAGGAGGAGAAGGAGAGAGAGCCGGAGGGCGGCAGCGGGGGAGGGGCAGCGGACGGGGATGCTGTGGGCTGACCAGGACCCCCACTGCTCCCACCAGTACCCCCCCGTACGCCACCTACGACCCCTCCTTCTCCCACCCCTCCTCCCACCCCTCCTGCACCTCCTGCTCCTCCTGCTCCTGCTGCCCCTGCAGCTCCTGCTTCTGGGGAGCGTTTGGGGAGGCCGAGGTCGTGGTGAGAGGCGCTTCTACGGTGGAACGAGAGGGCTGCTCGCCTCACAAACCCTGCCACCGACCCTCCTCCTCCTCCTCCTCCTCCTCCTCCTCCTCCTCCTCCTCCTCCTCCTCCTCCTCCTCCTCCTTCTCCTCCTCCTCCTCCTCCTCCTCCTCCTCCTCCTCCTCCTCCTCCTCCTCCTCCTCCTCCTCCTCCTCCTCCTCCTCCTCCTCCTCCTCCTCCTCCTCCTCCTCCTCCTCCTCCTCCTCCTCCTCCTCCTCCTCCTCCTCCTCCTCCTCCTCCTCCTCCTCCTCCTCCTCCTCCTCCTCCTCCTCCGCTCTCCTTCCTGCCGCCGCTGCCGCTGCCGCCATTGCCGATGCCGCTGCTGTTGCTGGTGTTGTCAGCTGCGGTGTTGCTGCTGCTGCTGGCGCCACCGATACTGCTGCTCACGCTGATTGAAGCCCGGGGGAAAACTCTTGGTGAGACTGGCACACTTGTCCCCCCTCTGCTTCCGCCTTCTCCCTCTGCTTCCTTGCCTCCCATCAGTTCGGCTCCTGCTGCTGCTGCCATTCCTCCCCCTTCTCCACCCCCTCCTCCTCCTGCTCCGCCTGTCTCCCCTACTGCCTCCCCTGCTGCAGCCTCGGACTGTTTAGGAACGGAGAAGAGGCCTCGCGTGATAGGGGAGAGTAGGGGCATAGCAGCAACAGCACCCACAGAGTGCCTCCTAGCGTGCCGAGTCCTCTCCCTCACACTCCCGCCCAGCCTCTTCCCCCCGCTTATCAGTCCCCCGAACAGCCCCCCTCCGCCACTGCTGCTTCCCCTCACGGATCCCGCTCTGCTGCTTCTCCCACTGCTCCCACTGCTCCCACCGCTCCCACCGCTCCCACCACTCCCACCACGCGCACCGCTGCTCCCACCGGCGCTTAGCTCGTCACCAGGGCTAAACCCAGGGGGGCTGTTGCTGGTGGCCGGGCTGCTGGCGCAGAGCAGCGCGCGGGGGCTCATCAGGGGGCTCTTCCCCCCGCTGCTCCCGCTGTGCGTGGGCGGAATGACAGGGGGAAGCCCGGGGGAAAGCCCAGGGGAGAGCCCGGGGGAAGGCAGGGGAATGGGGGGAAGGTGGGAGTGCGCGCGGGAGGAGCGAGAGAGAGGGCTGGATCGGGGGGAGCGGTTGGCATAGGGCGGCGTGGTGGTCCCTGAGGGGGAGGCGAAGGCGGAAAGGGGCGGAGGGGGGAGGGCGGAAGCAAAGGCGGAGAGGGGAAGGGAGTCCGCGGGTAGAGGGCTTGTGTTGGGAGTCCCTTGGATCGGCTCTAGCACCATACTGAGTGACCTCCTACTCTCCCTCGCCTCCCTCCCGTCCCTCCCCTCCCTCCCCTCCCTCCCCTCACGCCCCTCCCTCCACTCCCTCCCCTCGCGCCCTTCCCTTCCCTCTCTTCCCCCGTCTCTGCTGCTGAGGCTGCTGCTGCTGCTCCTTCCGCTGGTGCTGCCAATATCTCCGCCAATGCTCCCATAAGCGGCGGAAAACCAGCCTGTTCCGCCATATCCCCCTCCCCCGCCCCCGCTGCTACCCCCAGCAGTCCCACCCCACCCACCGCTTCCCCCCCACCCCCCACTTCCGCCGCAGCCTCCCCCACTCCCCCTGAGGCCTTCCCCGAACGCCCCACGCACGCTCCCTCCTGCCCTCCTCACTCCCTCCCCCTCACCCCCTGCGCCGCCCCCACCCCCGCCCCCCTCCCTCCGCGCGCCTCCCCCCACTCCCCCCCCATCCTGGGAAGCTTCCGAGAAGCTGTGGCTCCTGCTATGGCGAAGGCTCCGCCTTACCGCCCATCCGCTCCCCCCGCCCGCCCCGCCCGGCCCCCCAGGGCCGGAAAGGGGGGCGCCTGGAGGCGTTGACCTGCTCCGCGGAACCTCCTCTAGGGATTCTCCACAGGCGGGGGGAGTGGGGCGGCCGTTATAGGACGCGGAGAGGGGGGCGGAAGGGGGCAGCGGGGGGAAGGGGAGGGGGGAGGGGGTAGAGGCGGAGGAGGAGGAGGACGGAGGACCGAAGGCTCCCCCTGCTGCCGCTGCTCCCCCTGCTGCCCCTGCGCCTGCCCCTATGCCTGAACCCGCCCCTGCCCCTTCCGCCAGGAATCCTCCCCCCTCGTTTCCGCCCCCCTTGGCGGATCTCCCCCCCAGGTGCACGTCTACTAGGAGGTTCCGCCACGCCCTATAACGGGACTGGGAGGATGATAACGCGGACGGCGACTGGCCTGCTAAATTCCCTTCCGCCCTGCCCGCCCCGCCCGCCTCCCCCGCCCCTCCTATAGGCACCACTCCCCCTGCTCTTCCCCCTTCCGCGGACCCTGCACTGCGGGTCCGGCCAAACGCCATGCTCGCGCCAAACGCCATGCTCGCGCCCCCCTGCGCCCCCCCCTGCGCCTCCCCCTGCGCCACCCCCTGCGCCCCCCTTTGCGCCAACCCCCCTTCCCCCAGCCCGTCAAGGCGCATGTTTAGCTGGTCCTGGGCGGAAAAGGAGGGCGGATAGGCGGAATCAAAGGAGGGCGCATACGCGGAGTTGAAACTTCTAGACCTCAGACCCCCCTGGGACAGCGCCGCCCCTTCCTCCCCCTCATCCTCCCCGTTCCCCACTTCTCCACTCCATTCCTCCCTATTCCCCCGCTCACCATACCCCCCCTCACCACTTCCCCCCTCGCCAATCCCCCCATCACCTCCCCGCCGCCCTGCCGCCGCCCCTGCTGATAAATCTCCCGCGAAATCCACCTGCTGCTGCTGCTGCTGCTGCGGCAGCGGCTGCTGCTGCAAGCCAGATAGGTCCATTCCCCCCAGCGCGTCGCTCCCAAACGCCTGGGACGGCCGCTTTCTAGCCGCCGGCCCCTCCGAGTCCCGAGAATTCGGAGAATTTTTAGAGACCTGAGAGATTTGAGAGTTGTCAAAGTAAGTCTGCTGAATAGCCGAGAGGTCTAACCCTCCCAAGGCATCGCTGCCAAACGCCTGGGACGGCCGCCGCAGCCGGCCCAGGAACCGGCTGACCGTCTGGCTGCCGCCCAGCTTCTTCAACCCTGCCTGCCCGCCGCCGCCCGGTTTCTTTGACCCCCCGCCCCGCACACTGCCGAATCCGAACCCTCCCCCTCCCCCTCCTCCCCCTCCCCCTCCTCCGCCTCCACCTCCGCCCCCGCCTCCGCCTGCGCCTGCGCCTGCGCCGCTGTCCCTGGTTTGCGCTCCCTCTTCCCCCTCCTCCTCATCGCTATCATCACTATTCCCGCCCGTGACCAAGCCACTGACACTGTGCCTCCTCCCCCTAACCCTCCCACCCCCTCCCGCTCCTGCTCCCGCTCCCCCTCCCCCTCCCCCTCCTATCCCCAAATCGTCAGGAGAATCCTCCTCTTTCCCGTCCCCATCCTCCCCGGCTGCACCCGCTTTCTCCCCCTCAAATTCATCCGGGCTATCCCACGAGTCCACCATGAAACTACTCCCAAAGACCGGCGCAACGAGCGTCTTAATATCCTGCTCGTCGATCACCGCCTTGTCCTTATTCGCCGAATCCGTCGCGTACGACTCGGCGAAGATCCGAACCGCCGGCCCGGACTGGGGCTTCCGGTGCAGTAGGTTTGGGGAGAGCAGCAGGTCGCCCATATCCTCGTTATCAGCTGCCCCGCTACGCAGCAGCTGCCACGCTGCGTGCGCCTGAGCGACTATCTCCATCACCTTGTCCTGCCCCGCCTTGCCCTGGCTCAGCGTCAGCACCTTGGTCTTTTCACCTGGGAAGCAATAAGGGTATGAGAGGTGAAGGGAGTCGAGGAAGAGAGAGGGAAAAAAAGGAATTAGAAGGATGGAATCAAATATTGGCAGAGCAGAGCAGAATCACCTTGTCTTGTCCTGTCCCGCCTTGCCCTGGCTTAGCGTCAGCAAGAGGGTCTTTTCTCCTGGAATATTGGGAGGGGAAAGAAAACAGAGGAATTTGAACGAGTTTCGGGTCGACTTTAAAATCAAAATGCACTTCAGAAGCGTCTGCACGATGCCCGCCACGTTCTCGTCTCGCCGCTCAGGTCCTGACACGATCTTCCTCTATTACCCCCCTTCCCAGCGCCGCAAGCTCCAAATGTCCCCCCCTGAACGGTCCGGTCCATTACTACAAATCTCTCCCACTCTCGCTTTCTCCTCTCGGGCCTCCATCTCCCACCCCACATTCCATCACCCTATCACCTCCGCAGTGCCGGCCGGCGCGCAGCCAGTCGAGAATACAGTCCAGAAGCGTCTGCACGATCCCCGCCACATTCTCGTCGCTCAGGTCCTGTAACGATCTTTTGAGTCGACTCAAAAGTCGCAGCCAGTCGCGAATACAGTCCAGAAGCGTCTGAAAGATCCCCGCCACGTTCTCGTCGCTCAGGTCCTGAAACGATCTTACTCTACTCCCTTCCTCTCCCGCACCCACAATGCGCCACCGTCTCACCTCCGCAGTGCCGGCCGGCGCGCAGCCAATCGCAAATGCAGTCCAGCAGCGTCTGCACGATCCCCGCCACGTTCTCGTCGCTCAGGTCCTGAAACCCCGACGGGTCGTCCGTCGCGATCCCCACCACCTTCCACGAAAGCTGGAACCCGCGTGGATCCACCAGCACGAACGCCGCTAGCGGCTCGACCGCGTAGGCCTCGCCTAACTGCCGGACCTGGCTACCTATGTCGATTAACTCCACGGGACTGTCGTCTAGGGGCAGGTTCCCGAATTCCGGGCAGCGCGTGGACGAGTCGGCCCAGGTTTGCGGGAACACGCCGAAGTTCCACGGGATCGGGTCGGCGAACCTCATGGGTTTGTTATTGCGTAACCGCATTCGCAGCGGCGCGAGGCGTTCGCGGACGGCGACTTCGTAGTCGTCCTGGCAGCCCTTGGGGGTGAGGCAGACGGCGTTGAAGGTTCCGTTGGAAGAATGCAGCGGCACGTCGTGCCACGGAGACACCTCGTTACAAGCATCGTCGATTAGCGTCACGCGGAAAGAGTTTCCTCCTGGCGTTCCCAAGGTTACGGGGATCCACGTGCCGGGGGCTGGAGTGGGCACGTTGTAGACACGCTTTTCACCCGCCTCGTCCGGCTTGCCTGTCCCTGCCGTCTTATCATCCACCTCTTCCTCTTCATCTTCTTCCTCCTCCTCTTCCCCATCCTGTTCGTCATCTGCTTCGTCCTCGTCGCTATCCATTTCGCTTTCCTCTCGCCATTTCTCACCAAGATTAGGATACATTTTTGTATCGTCGACAAGAGCCATGGCTAGATTTTAGTTCTGGCGTAAAGCAACCCCGTTCTATATTCTAATACTAACGCATTTCGCAGGGATAACGCATTTTGCAGGTGCGGCGCATTTGGCACGAGTAGCGCATTGCGCACGAGCCATGCATCGTCATCGACCTACATTGTACCGTGTGCCGTCCTACCGTCCTCACAAGCCATTGCAAGTCCTGGCCGATGGGAAATGGAGCGTACTTCACGGTAGCCAACTAAAGCTGTGCTGTGGCTACCTCGTGAAGAGTACGATGCTCAACTGCTTTTGCAGGTGGCATGGACAGAAACCCTAGTGGCATGTTCATTGCTCAAACACTTGCTGCTCAAATCAGCTACTTACACGGGTTAATCACGGTACATTGTGGTTCAATACGGTAGATTGTGTTATGAGCCTCACCTGAATGATTCTATTCATATCAGTACGCGACCGAAACAGAACCATCATGGAGCAGAGCTGCCTTGCGAGGGTGCGGTGGACGAACATCCCGAGCTGCCCCATTCGAACTGCCACCAGACGACTCTACCGTGTTATTTAGCAACACACCGCACCGTTTGAAAACGTATGTGAAAGGCGTGAAAGCTTGGTCCACACTGCTCACCCTCGCCAGAAATCAACATACATATATTGTTGACGTCTCACTTATAGAAAGTCACCGGGTTGGGGAAACCGGAAAAACAGAGCTGGAAGGAGGCTCCTGGTTGTGGAAAAGAGAGTCAACCAGTGTATATAAACTGTACAGTACGATATGCGAAACCCAAATCTTTTGTTGCATGCGACTGAATTGACGCGTCCTGCCTGCCCACACGACCCACGGCAATCCGCGCAAGCTGGAGCAAGCTGTAGACAGCTAGCGAAAGCGGTGTCGTGTGGTCGTGTAACCCGACGAAACGACAGGAACCTCCGTCCCTGCTATCGCAGATAGATTCATGACGGAAAAACACATGCTGTTGTAATTGGATGAATTTGTATTCACGAAGCGAACGACGAACCATCCGCCATCTGTTTTCAATCCCGTCAAACTGTTTTCGCGATTATTCTCTTTGCAGTACTTCACTGGCGATAAGAGCTTGGCACCCCACACTATGTTACTGTGTATCAGGTTACAGTGCAGCTTGGGAATTCCCACGCATGAATTTGCCAGCCTGGCTTGAGAGGTTCACTATAGGCATGACAGCTTTACATAGCTGCTGCTAGGCTGGCTGTGAGCTGTCTCGCTCGTAACAGCTGCATATTCTTGATTTATATAAGCAAACATAGAGATACTTAGGCATCTTCTCGGATTCACTTCTTCCATACTGTTAGACCTCAAATGTTTCTTTTTGCATGAGGGGTATTTGGTGCTATATATAACATCATTTCTATGCAACTATGGTGGCTGTGTGTCCAACTGCCTGTATAGTGGAACACATTGCTTCTCGCACCGCCTTATGATTATTAACTGTTAGACAAGCTACTCAGTGTCGCATATTATCCTGTCATAAATTATCCAGTTGGATGCGTTTACAAATGCCGGTTCGGCGTTGCGTGCGGTCAAGTGCCTGCATCCGCATAGGATTGCAATAACAAATACGCATTTTAAGTTATGGTAGACTCGCAAAAAGGTGAGGTGCAAGCAACCACACACAAACAGTAGCTCACATTTCATGGCAGCCCAACCAACCCGGTTGTCCTCCTGGTCGTGAATCACAAGGAAATCCCTCATCCATAGAGCTGCGATAATAGGGAGGGGGGAAGGGAGAGAGAGGATGTTGAGTTGATGGTGGCTCAGGAGGTATCACAGAATGGAAAGCAGGACTGGTTCTTATGCACACAAAAATTAGTTGCAATAAACAATCGCGCATGGGGTACAGGCGAAGGGCAACAGCATGATATGTTCACATGATAAGTCAGCAGATGCCAAAATAATAGTACCACCACTGCGTTGGGAGAGAAATACAAGTACCGCATCACCACGGTGCATGCCTCGGCAGCGCCCAGTGTGCTTTGCTAGCTTGCAATCATGACAAGAGCACCACGCACTGCGAGGTTAGTGTGTGCCAACTGTGTTTTGCCACCCACCGAGCCTTGCCGCTCAATGTGCCTTGCCGCTCAATGTGCCTTGCCGCTCAATGTGCCTTGCAGCTCAATGTGCCTTGCCAGCCACCGTGCCTTGCCGCCCAATGTGCCTTGCCAGCCACTGTGTCTTGCCGCTCAATGTGCCTTGCCAGCCACTGTGCCTTGCCGCCCAATGTGCCTTGCCAGCCACTGTGCCTTGCCGCTCAATGTGCCTTGCCAGCCACTGTGCCTTGCCGCCCAATGTGCCTTGCCAGCCACTGTGCCTTGCCGCCCAATGTGCCTTGCCGCCTACCATGCTGTCCTCGCACCCAGCATGCTGCAGCTCACCTCCGATGATGAAAGCCAGTCCATGAGGGGCCTTCATGGTATCAGACCCCAGCACCACCTGCGTGCACACTATCTCCACCCCCTCGTCCTGGCGTTCGTGGTGGTAAGGGGATTGAAGAGAAATTACTCAAACATTGAGGCGTCTCAGAATGCTTCTTTTATCACCTGAGTGCACACTACCTCCACCCCCTCGTCCTGGTGGAGGGGGGGGGGGGGGGGGGGGGGGGGAGGAAAGGAAGGATACACGACCTTTTAGCTGTCTCAAAACTGTTGAGCTCGTTGGGGACCTTCAGGGTGTGTGACCCCAGCACCACCTGCGTGCACACTATCTCCTCCACCCCTCGTCCGGTTGTTGGGATGAATGGGACGGAAACGGAGGGAGGGATGGACTACTGATTTTGAGCTGTCTCAAAACTAGAAGCCATGGTAGCACCATCAGCAGCTAGCCTGGGTATCATGGTGTAGCAGCACGGTGACCATGGTTTAGCCTAAACTATGAAGAAATCACAAGCACAGATGTCTCAAACAGGCACAGCATGACTTTAAAGTCTGTGGCAACACAAGCGTCACTGTGATGTCAAATGCCAAGGAATATCAGCGCTTACCATGGCTTTGAACGTGTACGTGTGGAGTGGCAAATTCATGAACACGCCCATCCCTTCCAAGTACAGCAAGTACAAGTACAGACATCTCAACAGATCCCCATGGCATTTCAGCGCTCACCATGGCTTTGAACGTGTACGTGTGGGGCGGCAAATTCATGAACACGCCCCTCCCTTCGAATTGCAGGTTGATGTGGGGGAAACGGTTCCTCACATCCTCTGCTGTCAGCCTGGCGAAAGAAGAGAGTGAAGGGAATGGGAAATTGGAGGGGAGGAGAGAGCAGGGGGAGAAGGGGCTTGATGGATCGTTGCAGGTCGATGTGCGGGAAGCGATTCCTGACATCCTCTGCTGTCAGCCTGAAGTGGAGAGATTGGGGGGAGCGAGCGAGGGGAAGAGGATGCGTGGGAGGAGAAGGAGGGGGTTGGAGCGGGGGTGGTTGGTAGTCGAAGCCGAGGGAAAACTGGGCATGCTGGTTCATAGCAGGTTGACATTGGGAAAGCAGTTCCTGACGCCTTCTGCTGGCTGACTTTTGAGTCGACTCAAAAGTCACCTGGCTGACATTTGAGTCGACTCAAAAGTCGAAGCCGAGGGAAAACTGGGCATGCTGGTTCATAGCAGGTTTTTGACATTGGGAAAGCAGTTCCTGACGCCTTCTGCTGGCTGGAATGGGATGGGTGAATAAGATGCGAGGGAAGGGGAAGCAGAGCATATAGACGCATGCCGTGAACACACACAGCCGTTATCGCACACACACTCACGCATACACGCACCCATTCTCCAACAAACTTACACACACACACACACACACACACACTCACTCACTCGTCGGTGGAGGAAAAGCAGAGCGAGCCCTCCTTGCCAATGGAGAAGGGATAGCGCGGCAGCCCCACTGCCGTCTGGATCTGAGGAGGCCAAGAGGGAGCAAGTGGAAGAGGCATGCAAGGGAAGGACAAGGGAGTGAAGGGTGAGGAGATGGACAAAGCACAACAAAACAGTCCGCCTTCTCAATGGAAAGCACACGATGTGAAATGAGTGAGCTTGAGACGTCGCAAAAACTCGCTCATTTCAAGTGGCATACTGCCTTCAGAGCCAACTCAGGACTGCCCTTGTTTCGATACCTCACAGGAGGTGTTTTCATTTTTCCCAGGAGAGAAACTGGTCACAGTTTTGAGTCGACTCAAAACATACCTCACAGTTTTGAGTCGATACCTCACAAAAGGTGTTTTTTCTTTTTACCCAGGAGAGAAACTGGTCACAGTACACAAGAGTTGCCTTCTGACTTAATCATGGACGCTTGGATATGGACTCACAAGGTGGAAGAGGGGCGGGACAAAGAGAGGCGGCATGATGGAGTAGGTGGTGCCGCTGTCAAAGATGGCATTGCCGTGGGTCAGGTTGCCATACTGCGCTGGATTCACCGCCACCTCTATTCCCCCCACAAACACCTTCCTCAGTGTCACTTTGTAGAAACTGAGGGCCGGGGGCAGGGGGTCAGGGAAAAGGGGGCAGAGGAGGAAAGAGGGAAGGGCACAAGGAAGAAAGAGCTAAGATTGCCGTGCTGCGCTGGATAAACATAAGTGTTTTAAGACGTCTCAAAACACTTCTGTTTAAAGGGGGCAGAGGAGGAAAGAGGGAAGGGCGCAAGGAAGAAAGAGCTCAGCTCAGATTGCCGTACTGCGCTGGATTCACTGCCGGGAGTTTTTTAGAATTCTCAAAAACTCATTGCCGTACTGCACTGGATTCACCGCCGTTCTGCGCCTTTGCAGGCAGGCCGCCTGTGGTGGATTCGCAGGCATCTCCATCCCACCTGCGAACACCCTCCTCAGAGTCATTGTGTAGAAGCTGCAGAGCGGGGGGAGAGGAGGATAGGTGCAAGGAAGGACGGGAGAGGTTGCAGTGCTGGCTGGCTTAACTGCCACCTGCGGGCCAGGCCCCCGCTAGACACTTCCTCAACGCCACTTTCTACAGGCTGACATGAGGGGGGCATAGAAGCAACCATAAATACCTGTTTTTGAATCGACTCAAAAACAGGCTCAGGCACTTTCTCAACGTCACTTTGTGCAGGCAGGCTGACACGAGGGGGCCTGGAAGCAACCATAAAAACTCGAACTCCCCAAGCCAAATCGCAGCACTGACGTTTCATTTCATGTGGTCCCAGGGGCGTGAAGGCAGTGAGAGCAGGGATGGGCGGACATTCCAGGCGCCTAGAGAGAGACACCAAAAACAGACAACCTCAGAGCAAGGTAATAGTAGTACTCACGTTTCATCTGGTCGCAGGTGACTTTTGAGTCGACTCAAAAGTCACCTCGCCTAGAGAGACACCAAGAATCACAAGCTCAGAGCAAGGTACCAGTACTCACGTTTCGTCTGGTCGCAGGGGTGCAATCGAGCCCCACTTAGAGGCCATGGTCAATACGTGGCAGCAATCTCTTGATTTGAGACACCTAGGTACCAGTACTCACGTTTCGTCTGGTCGCAGGTGACTTTTGAGTCGCCTAAAGAGACACCAAGAATCACAACCTCAGAGCAAGGTACCAGTACTCACGTTTCGTCTGGTCGCAGGGGTGTGAAGGCGGTGAGAGGCGGAATGGGAAGGTCCCCCACTGTCATCCACCCACCTCCGCCATCGCCCCCCAGGCAATGCGCCACCACCTGCCTGCTCGCCAGAGGGAGGACGAGGGGAGAGGGGAGGAGGAGAGAAAGGAGGTGAGGAGGGAGGAGAGGAAAGGGGAGAGGAGGGGTGAGAGGAAGGGGGATGAGGGGGAGGGTCACCCACTGTCAACCACCCACCTACCCCATCGTCCCCCAGGCAATGCGCCAGCACCTGCGTGCTCGCCAGAGGGGTATGGGACGGGATGGATGGAGGGAGAAGAGCAAGAGGTAAGAGAGGGGGGATGGGAAGGTCCCCCACTGTCATCCACCCGCCCCCCCGTCGCTCCCCCGTCGCCCCCCCGTCGGCCCCCCCGTCGCCCCCCCCGTCGCCCCCCCCGTCACCCCCCCCCCCCCCCCCCCCGCCGCCCCCACCGTCGCCCCCCAGGCAGTGGCCAACCACCTGTTTGCTCGCCAAGGGGCAGGGGAAGAAGAAAAGAGGAGAGGAAGGAAGAGAGTGAAAGAGATGGAACAGCTGTGAGCAAGGAGAGGAGAAAAAACGCTCGTCAGAGGGCACTGAAGGGAAGAGGAGAAAACGGCTGTGATCAAGGAGAAGTGACCCTTTTGAGAATTCTCAAAACTCGCACCAATGATCAACGAGAAGAGGAAGTGATCCCCTGCCCAGCCCTATGAGCCCGTCACGAGCCTGATAGTACGTCCAAATGCACTCTACCTACCACCTGCACCGCACTGAACCTCATCTCACCGCACTGAACTATATCATACCGTATGGGGAAGAACTCCTTGTAGGCCCCAACAGCAGTGAGCAGAGAGAGCGTTCCCCTGCCCAGTCCTATGAGACCGTCTAGGGCTCTGGTAGTACATCCAGCTGCACCGCACCTACCTGCACCGCATTAAACCATATTTCACGGCACTGAACCACATCTCACCATTCTGAACTAGAACGTACCGGATGGGGAAGAACTCCTTGTAAGCTCCGACAGCTGTGAGCAGAGAGAGCGACCCCCTGCCAATCCCTTCGAGCCCGTCTAGAGCTCTGGTAATAGGTTCAGCTGCACTACACCTACCTACCATCACCACAATGAACCACATGTCACCGCACTGAACCACAGCTCACCGAATGGGGAAGAACTCCTTGTAAGCTCCAACGGCTGTGAGTAGAGAGAGCGACCCCCTGCCCAGCCCTATGAGCCCGTCTAGCGCCTGGTAGTAGGTCCAGCCCAGGCCGTTGTAAAAGTTGCCCTGCTGCGAGTTCCCACAGCTGTTGATAGCAATGGGCCGAGAGGGGAGGAGTGGGATGGGGAGAGGTGGGGAGTGATGTGGGGAGGGGTAATGGTAGCCCTATGAGCCCGTCTAGCGCCTGGTAGTAGGTCCAGCCCAGGCCGTTGTAAAAGTTGCCCTGCTGCGAGTTCCCACAGCTGTTGATAGCAATGGGCCGAGAGGGGAGGAGAGGGATGGGGAGAGGTGGGGAGTGATGTGGGGAGGGGTAATGGTAGCCCTATGAGCCCGTCTAGCGCCTGGTAGTAGGTCCAGCCCAGGCCGTTGTAAAAGTTGCCCTGCTGCGAGTTCCCACAGCTGTTGATAGCAATGGGCCGAGAGGGGAGGAGAGGGATGGGGAGAGGTGGGGAGTGATGTGGGGAGGGGTAATGGTAGCCCTATGAGCCCGTCTAGCGCCTGGTAGTAGGTCCAGCCCAGGCCGTTGTAAAAGTTGCCCTGCTGCGAGTTCCCACAGCTGTTGATAGCAATGGGCCGAGAGGGGAGGAGAGGGATGGGGAGAGGTGGGGAGTGATGTGGGGAGGGGTAATGGTAGCCCTATGAGCCCGTCTAGCGCCTGGTAGTAGGTCCAGCCCAGGCCGTTGTAAAAGTTGCCCTGCTGCGAGTTCCCACAACTGTCGCGATGGGCGGGTGGAGAGAGGTAGGGAGGGATGAGAGGGAGAGGTGGGGAAGGGGACCGTGGGATAACGGCAGTCACATACGCCCTGCCATCTGTCCACAGGGAGACAGAGGCGCTTGTAACGTAGGCACATGTTACTAAAGCGCACGCTACACAGGCACATGCTATGCATGCACATGTTACAGACACACTTACAAGAGGCATATATGACACAGGCCAGGCACATATAACACAGACACACATAACACAGTCACACATAACACAGTCACACATAACACAGTCACACATAACACAGACACACATAACACAGTCACACATAACACAGTCACACATAACACAGTCACACATAACACACAGGCACACATAACAGTCACATGTTACACAGTCACATGTTACACAGTTACATGTTACACAGTCACATGTTACACAGTCACATGTTACACAGTCACATGTTACACAGTCACATGTTACACGGTCACATGTTACACAGTCACATGTTACACAGTTACATGGTACACAGGCACATACCCAAAAGTGATGGGAACTTTGAAGGCCCGAGCAGACCCTGAGATGGGCAGATGGATGACGTCACCAAGCAGGCGTCCTGACGTCCCACTCCCATCCCCATACGCCACCGAATACATACACCCCAAATCCTCCCCCGAACCTCCTGCCGAGCCTGCTGCCGAGCCTTTAGCCAGAGGCTTGGCGGTGACGTTGCAGTTGCGGATCTTGACGGTTCGGTCGGGGTTGATGCACGCTTTGTTGGAGCATTGAAGGAGCTTGACTGAGGATGACTTGGCAGAGTCGAAGGGCGGGTTGGTTTGCTGTCATACGGGGAGGGGAGAGGGTGAGGGAGGATTGAAGTGATGATGTAAGGTCAGGTCGGGGTTCATGCAGGCCGTGTTGGAGCACTGAAGGAGCTTGACTGAGGTTGACTTGGTGGAATCAAAGGGCGGATTGGTTTGCTGCCACACGGGGAGAAGGGACGGGAGTGAGGGAGGGAGGGGGAACAGGAGGTGAGGGAGGGGGAGGGAGGGAGGTAGCGGGGGGAAAGAGGGAAGGGGGAAAAGACGGAGAACGGGAAGGAGGGATGGGGAACAGGAGCGGAGGGACCGGGGAAAGGAGCGAGGGGGGGGGGGGCTGGGGAAAGGAGCGCGGGGGGGGGGGGGGCTGGGGAAAGGAGCGCGGGGGGGGGCTGGGGAAAGGAGCGAGGGGGGGGGGTGGGGAAAGGAGAGCGGGGGGGGGAGTTTGAGTCAACCCAGAAGTCACAACAACCGGTCGACTCGCCAAGAGCCGACTCACCAGAGTCTTAGAGAGCGTGCAGGGGTTGCAGGGCAAGCAGTTGATCCAGAGCAGGTTGCTGCCCGTGTCTATGTCCAGGTTGAACGTCTGTGGCGGCGTGCCGATGCCGAGCTGCACGTAGTATATGCTGCGTGCGGGGCGGATGGGAAGCCAGGTTGGGGGGCGGATGGGGAGCCGGGTTGGGGGGCGGATGGGGAGCCGGGTTGGGGGGCGGATGGGGAGCCGGGTTGGGGGGCGGATGGGGAGCCGGGTTGGGGGGCGGATGGGGAGCCGGGTTGGGGGGCGGATGGGGAGCCGGGTTGGGGGGCGGATGGGGAGAAGGGTTGAGGGGCGGAAGAGAGGATGTGCAGGGAGAAGGGGGAGGGAGGGCGTAAGTAATCAAGCAGCTGAGCCAGAGCAGGTTGCTTCCCGTGCCTATGTCCAGGTTGAACGTCTGAGGCGGCGTGCCAATGCCGAGCTGCACGTAGTATATTCTGGGCGCGGGGCGGATGTGGAGGGGTGGATTAATGGGGAGGATGAGGAATGAGAGTGGATCACAAGGGGGGAGGATGGGGAGTAAGGGTTGGGGAGACGGGAGGTAGTGGTGAGGACGGGCAGTAAGGGTGGGGAAGACGAGACGCAGAGGGGGTGATGGGGAGTGAGGTTGGGTTGAGAGAGGTGCATCAAATAGGCAGGCAGATGACCCAGGGCAGAAGACCCAGGGCAGATTGCTCCTTTGCGAAGATAGCTCGGTATAGTGGATACCGATTGAGTGACTTTTAAGGATGGTGTAAGGGTAAAGGGAAGTGCCTACCCGTTAGGGTAAGTGGCCCCCAGCAGCCCTGCCGTAGCCGTTATGCCCAATTTCCTCCCACGATGGTTACCACTAGGGTTACCATCATCAGCACCACCAGAACCAGCACCACCTACTTCTTCTCCTCCTTCTTCTCCTCCACTCATTTCACCCCCTCCTCCCTCCAACCCGCCCTCCCGCCCCTGAACCATCAACATCCGTGACCTGTGTCGAGCCTTGTCACCCTCCACTAGCGACAAATAATGCTGCCCAAACGCGTGCCCAGCAGACGAGTTCTCCTGCGAGTTCCACGAAGCCGCAGAAGCCGCCGCTGACGTGGCAGGCCTGGCCACCGGAAGGGACGAGGTCGCGGGAGGTTCGGGGGGCGGACGGGAGTGGTCCGGCGGGGAAACGGAAGCGGCGGTGGTGGCGACGGAAGGACGAGCAGCTAATCGGCTGTTAATCCGCAAAACGTGGAGCCCGTGTACGCCGTCGATGAGATCAGCGAACGCATGCGGACCCTTCCGGCCGTCCGCCGCGCTTTTCTCGGCGGTTATGTCGGGGAATGGTCCAGCGGAGGCGCGGCGTTCCGAGCAATCCTCGGAGGTTCCTCCAACCATGCAGCTTGAAAGACCACCGAAATGCTCTTCAGTAGTACTACTATCCACGTTAGTGCCAGGCATGTTATACGATTCGTGAACGGGCACTGGCGACGCCGTGGTGATCGTCATTGTGGGATATAACAAGCCTGTGGCTAGGAATGCGACGAATAAGCATGATGGGAGGTTCTGCGAGTGACAGAGAGAGTGACGTCTTCGCGATGGACTTGACGTGAGGGGTCTGGTAGACGGTCTTGAAAACATTATAGTAGACCGTTTTAAGGAGAGGATCGAGGTATTGTTGAACAAGTAGTGTATGCGACCTGCGCTGCCAGTTTCTGTTCTTCTCCCTTGTGTTTTGTTTGGGACCTCGGACGAGAGGAGGTAGACTGGCTTTCTGAAGCTACCACGATCAGCACACCTAGTAGTGGCACCCATTGCAAGACATTTCATCGAGAATCAGTCTCATTATAATATAAATAAAAGAACGAGTCAGCGTCACTGTCATGCCTTGGCCTACGAATACGCCAACGCTACCACCTTGGGTGGGGAAGGGCTACTGGAATATGTCGCATGAGGGGAGGTGCTAAGGACTCCCTCAACGGATATTAGACAGAACGACAAACAGATACTAGGTGACTGCGATATTATGCTAGGAAAGTGATAGTGAGAAGGACCCCAGTTCCTACTCAATTCATACTTGTTTTCCCTCACCGTGGATCCAACAACTGAGCTTGATGATAGTCATCGTGAAATTGGCATTCCCAGTGCCGTGGCTCGCGCCGTGGTAGTTCCCATGCACCGAGATCCATTTTGATTCAGTTCAGTGGTTCTCCCTAGTGTCACCTGGGAGGAGAGTTGTTCGAATCCAGTTCCTCGTCCAATTGGAACGCCGATTGCAGAATGCCAGTCGCGACTCCACCCACCAGCATGTCAGAATGTCAGTACAATTTTAACCGCAATACAAAATGATTCGCTATCTTAGGGAAACTTATCAAACATCGACTTCTATATAATATTTTTCCATCTGTTGAAGGCTATCGTTAACTAATTATAGATAAATATTATCTTACATTAAATCAATGAATTTAAAAAATATAATTCCCCTTATGAAAAGAAATCTATTATGCAAGGTTTTTGCATCCTTCTCCAGGATATGCGAACCATACTATAGCTTTCCCGTAAAGCATTTGTATAATGCATATACAGTTTTAGTTCCCAACCAGAATGAATAAGACCTGCGATCATGATTGCCATGAAGTTTGACATCCATGACTTGTTGACTACCAATCAAAATGGCAGATAATAATATGTCATCCTGCCAGCGCACCTCGACGAATGGTCCTGCTAGTTTCTAGGGAAGCGTTTCATCCAATCGTAAAACAAGATTCAACGCGCAATCTCACGTCCCTACCCAATCAAACACGTGCCAGAGCCTTCATCCGCGATTGCCCGTCTCCGCGGCTTCCAAAATCCTTGGGCTGCTGACGACCGTTGCTCACACGAGACGGGAAAACCAACAGATTTCAGGGGCTGCTGGTCCCACGTTCTCTTCATTCCTACGTATTTTTTTAAGATTGAACACTGGAAAATCTGTCGGTTTGTTGTGGTGGCCTCCAATTCCGTAATTTCCAGTTTCAAACCAGATAAAACCAAGTTTCTCGGCTGCCCGTCGATTCCCCATCGTATCCTCTAGTGTGCGCTTCGCCAACTCCCAGCGTCAGATTTGTGCACCCACCTCGCCTCTCCCTCCCTCCATCCCATTTCCAGTGCTCCTTCCTCCCGTCTCCGAACTTGCTACGTTGGAATTGGGGGCTTATTTGTAGAGCTTTAGTTGGGTGCACGTGATCCAGCACAGCAGCTGCTTGCAGGTTATTTCCTCCACCTCCATTTTCTCACAACCGTCTCGTTTCGCACCACAGGCACCACCGTCCAACTCAAGACGGATTATTAGCTTCTAAGTGGTTCGTCCACGTTAACACCTGTGTGCTGCCTTCTCACAGCCGTGTGTTACCACGCGTTGACCGTCCGCCGACTGAGGCGCGTTTAATAGCACGCGCCAAGCGTGTGGAGAGCGACAGCACCGCACCGCGCTACCCGAAGTTTCTCCCCCACACCTTCCTCATCCGGTCAGCAGTCTTTGGGTGAAGCGCACTTGAAGCAGAAGAAATAGTGCGTCTTCAAGAGCCAGTTCCACTATATAAGTTTACCACCATACCGCTCCATTACCGTCGTTCCACAGCCGTGACGCCCTCACAACCGACTCGTATAAGTCACCTGGACACTTACTGGCCTCGTAACTGCATCAAATCCACCTGACGAATTTACAGCCACCGGGAAGCCGAGCATCAGAAAACTCGCGCTCCCTTACCATCTCCACGCCTCTTGCCATCAGCCGCTCCTTCGTATCACGCTTCTTGCCATCCGCGCTTTGGATTCTGACCTCCGACGCATAAATTCGTAAGTTTGGTATCTAACCATGGCGGCTACAGCAGCTGCAGGCTCCAAGCACCACCTCCTCCGCCCGCTACCCTCGCCCGCCGCGGCGGCTCGTCTAACTCCTGCGAGAATGGCAGTGACGCTGTCTGCGACGCGTGGCGCATCGAAGCTTCCCGCCGTCCGCGCAACAGCTGCGCCACCCGCGGGGAAGCAGCAGTCACCTGCAACGGCGGGGCCGGCGGCTCAGTCGCAGTTCAGCTCCGACCCAGCGACGATGTCCCACAGCACGCGCGGTAGCAAGGACTCCGCGATTCGCGCGGCGCCGTCAGTATCCGTCATCGAGTGTGACGTCACTTCCCCCGACGTTAACGGAAACGGAGCCGCTAACGGAGCATCTGCCTCCGTGTATTCGTCGAAGCAACAGCTGGAGCTGGAGATCCTGCCTTCTTTCGTGCCGCAAGAGCTCACAGCCGCAGCAGACATCTCAGAAGCCTTTCTCTCTCCGGAATCCTCCGCACTTCTGTCGCTGCCGGTACTCGAACCCGCGACCTCTCCGCAACGGCAAGGGCCCGAAGCGGAGGCGGCGGAGGAACGCGGTAACAACAGCAGCAGCGCTGAAGTTACGGATGATGCGGGAAAAGAAAACGAGGACGAATGCTGGCGCAGGCTGATGGCGCGGGCTGGGTACTCGAAGCGCATGGAGGCAATCGGCGATCAGTTCTTTGAATCGGACTTGCGGCCTGTCGTCCTCTTCGATGGTGAGACCGCAAGCCTCGGACTACCATGTTTGATGCAGAATTGAACCTTAATCTGCTTCATTTCCTCACAAAGCCATGCCCGTTTGCGCCGTCTCCTTCCGCTCTCTGTCTACTGTCCTTGGCGAACCTAACACCCATGATCTTTATCTTCTCTCGTCTCTCGTGCTGATGTTTATCCTGCGCGTCGTCCGGTTTCCAGGCGTGTGCAACCTGTGTAACAAGTGGGTCAACTTTCTTCTCGACTATGACCCCCACGGGTAAGACGCCGCTTCTGTCTTGCTGTCTTCCCCCAAGCCACCGCCTCTCTGCATCTTTTTCGTCCCCTTGGTCTCGTCACTCCCTGTTCTCCGCGTCCCCCACTCCCCCTCCTTCCTCTCGTCCCCTTATATTCCCGCTCCTCCCTCACCACCTTCGCTTCGTGACCGTCATCGCCTCGGCCATCTTCCTCGCATCGCGCTTTTCGGTACCACAGTTGTTTCCTCCCCGCTAACTGCATCTCCCCCTTCAATGTTGAACTCACCCAATTTTCGTGTCTTGTCGTTTCCTTGCTTTCTCCTGCAGCAACCTGCGCTTCGCCTCGCTGCAGGGCGACTCGGGGAAGGCCCTACTCCGTCGCGCAGGTCGTGACGAAAACGACCACTCGGACATTGTCCTCGTCGCACACAACAAGTGAGTTTCACGCGTGTTTTTCGGCTTATACCGCGTACAATCTACAAAGTGTTTTTGTGGTGCCTCAAAATCAGCAACCAGTTCAAACATGTTTCTTGCTTCAGCACATGTAGCCCATCGCTTACCACCAAAGTACCCGAATCAGAGCACACACATTTTCACATGCGCTCATTCAGGCACCCAAGTCCCCCCTTGGAACATTCTGCAGCTCAACACCCTCTCGTTACCATCCGCAAATCCTCTTGCACTAACCCCCCCCTTCAACCTTCCACCCTTCTGCCCTCCCCTTCCAGGGCCTATTTCGGCTCTGACGCAATCCTCCAGATCTTCTCCCGGCTGAAGCCACCTTTCCCTTTGCTGGCCGCCGCAGGCCACATCACGCCCCACGCGCTCCACAATTTCATCTACAAGAACGTTTCTGAAAGCCGGTACACGCTCTTTGGCAAGGCCGATGCGTGCCGGCTGTTTGACCCCCGCTTCGGGCAACGCTTCTTGCCTAGTGACCTGAGTCAACAGTAATAAGCTGGGTAGTCGAATGCAGCTGGGCTGTCCTAATACCACCCCACCAAGTGATATTCCATGCAGCCTGGAGCATATTTATTGGAGGGGGGTGTTTCTCCTGTGGTGGTCTGTCGGCTGTGGCTGTATATACTCCATTGTGGTTTTGGGAGGGACATGTACGCAGTCTCTGGGTGCAAGGCAGTCCGTCTGAGTTGTTGACGGCTTAGAAGTCTGCCTAGATTTATGCATTTTCTTTCCCGTTGTTATTGCAAGGGTTTCCTTTAAACACATAAACTGCAAGAGGCCATTCTTTATATAAGAGTTGATTGAATAAGAAAGGGTTGAATAAGCCATTGCAAGGGTTGTTGAATAAGAAAGCCTTGAACCACCTTGTGCTGGTATGTGAGGGCAAAGTAAGTTAATTAAAACAGGCAAATACAAAGCTTTATATAAGAGTAGAAGGAATACGAATAGATGTAATTAAACTAACTTGCTGTTGCGATTCGATACAGTGCGACTCGGGCAACTGCTCAATGTCGGGTCAGTTGTGTGTCCTTGCTGTCGCGCTGTATTGGTCAAGTTAAAGGTCGCTTGACCTTAAACCTTTGCGTAACCTCCAGGCGATTACCCTAACCTCCGGGGGTTGACTCGCGATGCTTCGATTTGAACTTCTTCGCTTTGTGTCCTGAGTTTCGACACGACAGAGGCGCTTGACTT